GGAGGCCCCAAAAAAAAAAAAAAAAAAAAAAAAAAAAAAAAAAAAGAAGGTAGGTAAAGATAGAAGATAGACACTGCACATCATTGAGACCATCAGATGACAAACATGCCTGTAAGCTGGTGAGCAGCGGATATCTCCCCTGAGAAGTGTACTAAGTTCTTCCAGGTGCAAGCTGGTGTACACATGCTTTGAACTAGGACACAATGGCCAGCTCTGTAAAGGGAAGCAGGGGGTCTTCGGTCCAATTTCTATCTCCTTTACTGATTCATTATCAGATGGTGAACAACCATCTTCATTCCTCAGTGTTTATTCGCAAAATAGGTATTTTCATTTTTATACTCACTCCCTAGTGGATCTCTAGTTCGATAGCTTTAAATATTTCTCTTCTGAATTTGAGACTCATAGATCCATCTACCTACTCTACATCTTTACTTGGATGTGTCTCTTGGGCATCTTAATATAACCAAAACCAAACCCTTGCTTTGCTCCCCCACCCCCTGCTGGCTCCACCCTATTCCAGTACATCAGTACATGGCAACTCCATTCTTCCAAAACTGTGACTTAGACTCATCTCTCATAACTCATATTCAACTGACCAGCAAATTTTGTTGGATCTACCTTCAAAATATATCTAGAACACAGCTGCTTCCCACCACCTCCACAGATAACATCTTGGTCTAAACCAACAAAATCGTATACCTGGATTATCACAATAGCCTCTTAACTCTTCCCTTGCTTCCATTCTCAACCCCCTATAGTCTACTGTCTACACAGAAACTAGCCTGATCACTTAAAAAGGAAAGTCATATCATAACACTTTTTTTTAAACATTTTTATTGGAGTATAATTGCTTTACAGTGGTGTGTTAGTTTCTGCTTTATAACAGAGTGAATCAGTTATATATATACATATATTCCCATATCTCTTCCCTCTTGCGTCTCCCTCCCTCTTACCCTCCTTATCCCACCCCTCTAGGTGGTCACAAAGCACCAAGCTGATCTCCCTGTGCTATGCGACTGCTTCCCACTAGCTCTCTATTTTACATTTGGTAGTGTATATATGTCCATATATACACTACCACTCTATCACTTTGTCCTAGCTTACCCGTCCCCCTCCCCGTGTCCTCAAGTCCATTCTCTAGTAGGTCTGCGTCTTTATTCCCGTCTTGCCCCTAGGTTCTTCATGCCTGTCACACTTCTTAAAACCCTCCACTGGGACTTCCCTGGTGGTCCAGTGGCTAAAACTCCACGCTCCCAATGCAGGGAGCCTGGGTTCAAT